GGGCTTCTGCTAAAATCCTTCTTTGGTTGGGATATTGAAGTAGTTGGCCGTAGGTAATATTTGCTTTTGTATTCAACAGGTCTTTCGCAATGTCATAAGAGGGAAGTTTATCTACCACCAATGGTTCACGTTTACGCTGGGGCTTTCTTGGTGCAAATATGTCTTCGTCCATCATGTCTTGCGAGTCCTCCACTGTTATTAAACGTGGTTCTTGGTCGTTCACCCTTCGCCTGAGTCTATTTTTCCACCTAGACTCTGACTGTGCTTGAGGTCTCTTTCCGTTATTGTTGTTTTTATTTTGTTGATACTCGTTATTTTCGTTTAGAACATAAACCTCTTCTTCCCATTCTTCGTTATCACCAATATAATCGTGTATCTGTATAAAAAGTTAGATCTATAAAGCTAGAGTTAGAAGTTGCAATAGTGTTTAATTTAAAAGAAGAACTATTTGGGTTAAATAGTTTAAAGACAGAATTGTTTTTGATAAGAATATTTGAAGTAGAAGGTATATGTATTGAGTATCTGTTTGTAGTAGTATATATTAAGTTCAAATAATTTGCATTAAATTTGAGCAATATGTTTGGGTTGTTTGAAGTTTTTCTTCCCCAGAATTGTATTAATAAAGTAGCTGAGATATTAAAAGTGCATTGGTTTTTAATTCAGTTAAAATTTAAACTGCATCTAGAGCAGAGACTACAATTTAATGAAGGAGTTAGTTAATATTCAGTATATGTATAGTTAATATTATGTAACTAATATATAATTAAAATTGTGTTGAGTTGTATGTTAAATAGATGAGTTTTGCCTATTGTAATTGAGTTATTGTTGTTATTAGTAATTAGTCAAGATTTGTGTTTTTTACTGAAGTATCCTGTAGTATAACTAAAATAGTTATTTAGTATAAGTACAGGTTGTTAAGTAAGTTTCTTTGTAAAGGAGTTTTCAATTAGGATATTTTCAAGATATTTAAACTATATTGGGGTTTTGTCTTTAGGCAAGTAATCTATTCATAAAAATAGGTGTTTCTATTTTAGGAGTGTACTATTATCTATAGTAGTGAGCTAGTCTAAGTAGAGTATATTTTTTATTTTGAGTTGTTTTTTAAAAGTATTGTAGGAGTTATGTTTGTTGAGTAGTTTTTCATATAAATATGCTATATGTATTATAGTATATAGTGTGAGACCCGAAAAGTGGTCAAGTTGGGTCCGGAATGGTATAACGTGACCATGAGTCATAGGGAGAAAAAATCACAAAAATTACATTTATTACATAAGTCACATAAATCACATAAATTAGATAAATTGCATTTATTGCATTTATTACATTTATGGAATTTATGCGATTTATGTGATTTATGTGACTTATATGATTTATGTAACTTACGGAATTTATGTGATAAATTAGATTTATTACTTTTATAACATTTATGTAATAAAATAGCATTCAAATTTTATATTATAAATAAAGGCCGTGTAGGCCCAGCGAGTACAACTCCTAAGTTTTGCATTAATAAAACTGAGTTTTTTATTAAATATTCCTTAAGTCTTATACATTTTAAATCCTAAATAACCTACTTTCGCTAAATTGATCCCCAAACCCTGGTCTACTGTTTAACGCAACTATCAGTAAGATCTTCTAACTTACACACGTGATATTTACCCCATAACTTTTCTGGTTAAGTCTTAACGTACTAAGACTAACTGTGGTATTATTGTCTAGCTAACCCGACGGATTGTGGTTAGTTGTAGTTGTATTGTCTGTCTAATTACCTGACGAACTGTGGTAATTGTGGTCTTGAATTTAGGATACATGACATACAGTTGTATCCTAGTTGTCCAAACTTTCAAGAATAAAGTCTCTACTAGGTTCCCTATAGAATAAATAAAAGATTAGTATTAGAGAAGTATCATTCCAAGGCATAATCACCAAGAAGATTAGAGAGAGTACTCACCTATGAACCCAAACCATCGCCCAAATCTAAACGCCCTCTTTCGACTAAGCCATTCGTAGATTACGCACGGTTTTAGGTAGTCAAGCGACTGACTCACTGTAATTCCCCGGTGGCATTTTTGGTGATGCTTATGAGATACGATACATCCCTACTCCCCCTCTCCCCCCTGATTCAAGAAATCGTATTACTCCAAACAAAAAAGAATAAATTAAGAAGAAACTTACCTAGGTTTAAACAGAAATAAAGACAAGTTAGAAAGAATATTAGCTCAGCTTAATCTGGTTACAATGAACGCTACTCAGCTTAAGGAATTCATTGAAAGCATGACCAAGTTATTCAAAAACGCAGCTAAAGATATAGTCCAAAATAATAGGTCTAGTTCAAAAGAGTCTAACCATGTTAAGGTCCGGAGGTATTATGGCACTGATGACGAAGACCCAATTGAGTGGTTCGATGACTTCAACAGAGCCACAGAGGCTAACAATTGGTCAGACCAACGCAAGTTAAAAATTGCCTCCGGTTATCTAAAAGATTTAGCGGCCGAATGGTATAAAGACAACAAGTCCAATATAAATTATTGGAAAAATAATATCCAAAGAGAACAAAGTTTCTACTACCTCCTAGTTTCATTCTTTGCTACGCCAGAGAAACAACACAAGTGGCACATTAAACTTAATACCCTCACCCAACAAGAAGGTGAAAAAGTGGACGCTTATGCCACTAAATTCAAAAAATTATTGAGTCGGGTAGACTCCAGAAACGCCCTTACCGCACCTTATATCATAAGAATATTTCTGAGTGGCCTAAAGGGAAAGACAGCCATATTTGTTTCAGTAACATCCCCCGCCACTCTAACCAAAGCAATCACTGCTACTAGAAAGGTCGAAGCTGGTGATTATTATAGCAATAATCATAAAGACATCCAGGCTAATGATCGTAAAGACGAAATAATAGAAACCCTGGCCAAACAAGTTCAACAACTAACCACAAGTTACGCGGCCTTGATAGAGAAGCGACCTAGAAAAAAAGAATAGAATGCAAAAAAATGGAATAACGAAAGAAACCAAGAAAGACAAAAAGAAACCGACAATATAAAAAAGAATACAATATACTTCCGATATGGTGAAATGGGCCATATAAGTTGTCATTGCCTATCCGAAAAGAAACCCAGGCAAGAATTCGAAGTTAAAAGAACTAGCAATTATTTAGGAAAGATACACGATTATATTGGTGATAACGAAGAATGGGAAGAAGAGGTTTATGTTCTAAACGAAAATAACGAGTATCAA